AAAAGCGCAATATGTTTGAAATTACGAGCATTATTTAAGAATGCTCTTTTGCTTCTTAAAATAGAATATTTTCCTGCATGACAACACAATCTTCCCGTGAAGAAGCAGCATTCTTGGAAAACTGGATTACTTTTGTTTGACATGTGTACTCTTCCCCTTGGTCAGATCAGCCCAGCCTTCATTTAAACAACCCTCTCTTAAAGAAATGGTTTCAATACTGTCCAACATCAACGATTGCGTTTAACCACATATCTCACTCATATCAAGGGGATGCTGCACAGAATAAAACAACATATTCTTCAAGGACGGCTATACTCTTTCAACAGAGTGCTACATGCATACAGTATACCGTTCAAATGTTTAAAGATGCACATCCGTAAAGATGCACATCCTTAAAATGACAATGCTCTTCAAGAGGAGAGCTGCCTACAAGGGGTGTTATTCTCACAATATGGTCCGTTGTCAAGGACATATTTTACATGCTTACATATACCATGCGTTCTTCATTTAAGAAAAAATATCGTGAAAAAGGGCATTTTTGACATAGAAGTAGACTAAACCATCTAAGACATGTCCTATTTCAATGGGATGTTCTAGATTTTTTTGAGGAAATGCGCATGTTGAAGGCTGTACTAATCTCAAAGAGATGCATCATTCCTTGTCAAGGGAATCATTTTACGTGTTTGAAGATTTGTTTACTCAAGGGTTTGATTCAACAATGTCAACTTCAAAATCAGTTCTACGCATTCATTGGCTGCCTGTGTTTTGCAATGTTTTTCAAACACATTTTGAAAAATGCGTAAGCAGGCAAAATTGCCTAACCTGGGTCCCAAGCCCAGCACAGACGCAAAGCAAACAATAATAACAATAAAACAACCAAAAGCAACTTTGCAACCCCTTAAGTGCGAGAACTGGCAAAGAGTTAGGTCCTTCACTTTTGTGTTGTTGTGCCAGCCCTTCAAAAAAAACAAAGAACGAACGAGAAAACAAGGAACCAAGAAACATCAAGAAACAAGAAAACAAAGAAAAAGCAAGAAACCAAAAAACTGAGAAAACAAAAAAACAAGATTGCACACCCCAAGGAGGGAGTATAGTGGCAGAGAGTTGGGTCTCGTCATTTTGTTTTTTCACGAATGCGTAGCAAGGGTTCCCGTTTTGGGGGTGTGGGGGTTGAGGGTGTGTTCGCTCCACGTTGCCCCGTCCGCAACCGTCCGCAACCGTCGGCAACCTTTCGCAACCGTTCGCAGCCGTCCGCGCGAGCCCCGTATGGCCGTGCCTATGGTAAGTTCTGCAACAGGCGCAATACTTTTGCGACGTTTTCAGAAGATGCGTTCCAGTTTCCGAGGCAGGCGCAGCACTTTGGACGTGTCCATGCATCGTCATTTTGCGTGGCACACGCAAAACTTTAGACGTGTCTTGTGGCGTGATTTTTGCGAATTACATTGTCAGGGCCGCGTCAATGCAAATTCCGTGGCAGGCGTTGCATTTTGATGATGTGCTGAAAATTGATGGAAGCCTCCCACGAAACATCGATTTTGAGGTAGCAAATTTGGAGGTTCATAAGAAAACTCGCAGGAAAACGTCGATTTTGAAGCTACAAAGTATGAAAATCGGAGACGGTCTCACACGAAATGCTCCTTTTGATGCTCCAACGTGTCTCGTCTCGAGTCTCTGTTTTTCCTGTGGCCTCGCCGTGTCTATGGGGGAAGCTGCAAAACCTGTCCTTTTCGAAGGTTTCCAAGCAGGTTGTCATGTCGTTTTGCAACAATCCACACTCTACACTTTACACTCTACACTTTAGACTCCACACTCTACACTTTACACTCCACACTTTACACTCCAAACTTTACACACTTGACACTTTGCACCCCACACTCTACACTCCACACTCTACACTTTACACTCCACACTTTAGACTTTACAATCCGCACTTTACATGCCACACTTTACACACTACACTTTACACCCTACACTTTACACTCCACACTCTACACGCCGCACTCCACACTCTACACTTGACACTCTACACTTTACACTCCACACTTTACACTTTACACTCCTCACTTTACACTCCGCACTTTACACACCACACTTTGCACTCCACACTTTACACTCTCCACTTTGAGTCTACGCTCCACACTCCACGCTCCACACTTTACACTTTACACTCCACACTTTACACTCCATACTTTACACTCCAGGCTTTACACTCCACACTCCACACTTAGCACGCCACCTTCCTCCATATTCCACAGTCTACGGTGCACTGGTTTGGTAACAGGGGCAAAATGCACAAGACTGTTCAATTAAACTGTTTCACAAAAGTGTTCTACGTGACTGCATATCCATGTGTTTCGACATCTGTACCGTTAACATACGTGTGAGCATTCGGGTTCGTGGGCTGCATTTTTTTTTTTGGGGTTTTGTTTAGCCTTTGCAAAGATGCCAAGCAGAAACTGTCAGTACATGTGTAAGAGAACAGTGACAAAACCGCACTCCGAGGGTGCCCCTTCTGTTTCTGAACTGGTAAAGTTTGTTGGATGAAATGGTTTGGGAAGGAACATGAAGAAACACAAGGAGGAACACGAAAGCACCAGGAAAAACAAAAAATACAAAAAGGCCGTCGCGAAAAGGCACTTCGATTACCTTTGTTCTTATTTTTTGCATTTTGACGTTGTCCTCTTCCTGCTCCAAAATTGACCAGGTCCCACAAGGGGCTTTGAATCAATTCTGGCACCAGTCTGGAACAAACAATTTGAAGAGCTACGGGCCTTATCTGTCAAGGGAAAGAAAAAATAGAACATCGAGAGAAACAAGAGAAAAAAAACAGAAGCAACTGCGGATATTGAAAGGAAATTGAATCGACGACGGAGGTACCACGTCGTATGTGAAAACCTATTGGGAAAGATTCGGGTTCGCAAAATAAAATCTATATCATGATTGTAGTAGGGCTGTGAATCAGGCACAAGGAGCGTTCAACGCGAGTGGTTTCACCTTTGGCCGCAAGCCGAGGATTGCCCAATCTTCCGCCGTGCATCTTGGCTGTAATGCTGCTGTGTGTTTTGAAGGAGTAGGTGAAGTATTTCACTCGAACTTGAACCCAAACCTAACCTCAAACGCGCAGTGTTCAAACCTGCTCTCACATGTTCACAGATGTTGAAATTATTAAGATCATGTTGTGTTCACATTGCATCACCCATCTCTGCAAGAAATGGTGCTCAAAATATTGAGTTTCCCCTGCAGGGGGCCGAGTTCTCATAGTGGTTTCGTTTGGTTTGATTCTGAATCTGGCCCACAGGAAGATCAAGACATGCAGCCACATCAAACCACAATATAAAGAGATAGAAAGATGGTTTGGCTTCAAAATGCTGCAACCTGATGCAGGGAGAGCGACGCCAGTGCCGAGGTGACCCAGAAGCGATGAGACTTGACAAAGAGACTTTGCAAAATCACTCCGCCGCCAATGCTCGACAGATTGCGATGGGACGCTTGGCGCCGAAAATGTGAAGAAAATCAGGGACTAGCCATCTTGAGGTAGCATACTGTAGCCATCCGCAATCACCTAGCTGACCTAGCTGTAGCACCATGCTGCGTGAATCGAAGAAGAGACTTTGCTGCACACCTGGATATTCTATTAATCCTGCCAGTCGTGCATTTGCACTGCAACTTGCACAGGGTATCCTCCGCATCATCTCTGCTCGTTTAAAGACCCTGCGAGTCAAACCCAAATCATTTGTGAGCCCTGGGGTCCTAATGCAATACCTATTCAGAAAGTTGGCCTTGACTTTAAAATTATGTGAAATGGAGGACAGCTGCCACAAGGGGTCAGTTGTGAACCCCTTACCAAAATGGTGTCTTTTTTTGATGGTTCCTTTGTTTTTGCTGCTCCGACCCAGATTTGTTACTTTTGTTTTCGTATGTGTTCGTATTGTCCCTCTAAGTTTCCCTTATTGCACTTGTTACTTTTGCAGTATGTGTTTTGTTCTTATTTATGTGTTTTATCGTTTCTTATTTTCTCGTATTTGTTTCTTATGGTTCCTTATTTTTTCCCTACTTTGTGTTTATGTGTGTTTATTTCTGTCTATGTTTAGTTACTTTAGTTGTTTGCACTTATTTAATAATATATTTGTTTTTGTTTGTTTCTTTTTTGTGGCACCTCTCATTCACCCTTCAAGTAGGCCTCTGTCGAGAGACCAAAGGCGTCTCCCTGCCGTTGCCTTTGTGCCCTTTCGGGGCTGGTGCGGCTGGTGCAACTGATTGCAACTGTTTTGTTCGAAAAAACTTGTTGCAACTTGCAACTTGTTGTACACATTTACAATTTTTACCCGGTAACCTGCAAATGTGTCTTTGTTCTCTTTGGGGATCGTGAAACTTTCTTGCGTTGCCCAGAATATGTTGCTCCGAAATCTTGATATTGGATTGTTCTTGACACCCTGGTGGTTTGTTCCAAACTCACGGACTCGTACACTCACGGCTCATAAATTCAGGGTCGAGCAATTGATATGCAGGTAAAAGGCCAAGATTGATTGTACCATATGTAAATCATATGTACATACCTAGAGACACATGATGGAAGTCTGGGCTATGTCTCGTTGCCAAATTCTGAGGCTACATGCCTGGAGTTGCAGAATGTGCTGTGAAAGACAATCGTTTGATTTATGTCGATATCCGCGGCTACCAGGCATGACGCATCACATGGCATGACCTCATGAGAGAACAGTTTCCAACAGGGCAGCGGTGTGTGTGTGTGTGCGGTCCTGCATCAAACAATGTGGCTTTACATTGTTGCGATTTGTTGCGTTCAATTCCTTTTGTGCAGCTTCAGTCCATCAAACAAACAGAACACAAGAGATGCTCGCTGAAACAAAAGCACTCAGGGTTCAACACCGCGTACTGACCAATAACTACTGTCCAAAGAAGATGTTGTAATGCGATATGCAAAAGGGTACAATCTTTGACATTCACAAACTCCGCGAACAAAAAGTTGCCGTTTCGAGCAGATGGTCAGCTTCGATGGGCCAGCTGGCGACTTTGGTTCCTTGAGCGCATTCCTGGGATCAAGAACAGCGACTGCAGTGAATGCAGTGTCAAGAACAGTATCAAGAACAGTATCAAATGCAAATGGCCCCGGGAACGAACACACAAAGACAGCTCAAGGAGTTTCAGGCGCAAAGATTGACAAAGACAACACCTTGCTGAACAAGAAAGTGGCATTTCGAATGTTGAAGCAGCTGGGTTGTGAAGTTCGGAGACTGGAGAGCGACGTTAGCTTTGTCGAGGTAAGCCTTGGCAAACAGCCGGTTTTGTTCAAAATGTTGGTGGAACTGGGCCACGGGCCGTGTAGAAATGAAGATGGAGATCTGGTGGTGCGAGTGAAGGAGCAGCGGCGAAAGGTAGAGGAGGTGGTTGCTCGGTTGGCCGCACTGTCAGCACCACGAAAATTTGACGAAGAAAAAAACGACAAAGACGAAGGCTATCCGAGCCTCGGCCAGAGTCGTCGCTTGAGACCCGAGGATGAGGAGCAGTTGGTGAAACGCCTCTACGTCTGCAAGGACAAGGATCCCAAGGACAGCAAGGACCGAGCCAAAGAGAACTCCAAAGACAACTCGAACAGCACAAACAGCACAAACACAAAACCACGGAGAAGTGCTGCAGAGCAACGTGCCTATCTGGATCGACTCTTGAAACCCAAGGAGTCAGAGAATTCCGAGGAGTTCATGGAGATTGGAGGCATCGGAAACATTGGAGGCATCGGAGGCATCGGAGGAGCCGGTTTTCAACTTGCTTGGCCCAAGTTCTCCAGCCCTTGCGCTCACAAGAAGAAACGGGTCGAACGAGTCGAACGAGTTGAACGAGTTGAACGGGTGAATTCTCCTTTGGTCCGTGCAGGGCAGTTGTTGCTCGACAGGCCCACGGAAGTCGTTGCGGAGGTTGACTCCGACACGGTGATGGACGTGGACACCGTTCAGGAATGCTTGGGGCCCAAAGGCGATGGAACTTCCACTTGCTCCAGTGCGAGTCCTGCGAGTCCCGTGAGTTTTGGTGCCGGAGACTGTGAATGCGGCCGAGTTCAGAGCTCGGAGAAGTTCGAGGACGAGAGCACGGACGAGTGGCTCGATCGGCTTCTGGGGGCCGACGCCAAGCCGCCTCGGCGTTCTGCCAACGAGCAGCGGGAGAGGTTGCAGGAGTTGGCAAAGCCTCGACAGGTGAAGGACAAAGAGAAACAGAAAGGAGAACAGATTGGCAAAGAAAGAGAACTCTGCCAGAGCCGATCTCCACGCTCGCAGAGAGAGGCTTGCACCCGACTGTCCCAGCCGCGAAAGCCCAAAACTAAAGACGCCAAAGAATCGAAAGAACGACAGGACACCAACGACACCGACTTCAAGGAGAACGACACCAACGATATCAAGGACGCTCAGGACATAGACATAGCTGGGGGAGTTGGCAACGATGACTTCGCTGACTTCGCTGATGGTGACTTGGACGACTTGGACGACTTGGACGACTTGGACGACTTGGACCCGGCCGTTGATGACACGCAGGTGCAAATCATCCCTTCGATGCTGGCGCAGTGTTCTCCACGTTTGGAACGAATTGATGAAGAGAACGCAGAGAACACATGCCCCATGCAGCATGCAGACCATGCACACCATGGTTCAGAAACTGCGGCACGGCGTGTTCGCATCCGACACAGAGCTGCTGCCCAGGCTGCTCCATACTCTGTGCCAGTCTGCCCCAAGAGCGTTTCCAGCGTTTCCAAAGCTCAACGCAGGTGCCAGAAGAGGTCTCAAGCCATGCATGCCATGCAAGCCCAGCAAGCCCCGCCCATGGAGAATGAGTTGACGCCACAAGAGATTGGAAAACTGGCAAGTTTTCTAGATGAAACTGCTCACAGTGAGGCCATGCTGGATGACATCGATGCCTTGTACAGCCAGCTGATCACTGGAGAAGATCTGGCTGCCTCCAGAGCAACTGGCCCAGAGGCAGAGACTGAAATCCTTTCTCACGCTCCATTCAGTTCCCATGGGGCAGAAGCAAACGATGCAAACGAAGCAAACGATGAAGAGCTCTTGGTTGCCATTGACCAACTTTATCATCAGATGATCCCGTCGAAGGAAACGCAGAGAGAAGACGAAACGCAAAAACCGATGCACATGGCATCAAGCGCATCAAGCGCATCAAGCGCATCAAGCGCATCAAGCGCAGGAAACAGAAGTGAAAGTCTTCCTTTTTGCGTTTCTCGTTCTGCACCGGAAGTGTCTCCCCAAGGTGCAGAAGGTGCAGAAAGAGATCCTTCTCAGAAAGTCGGTTCTTCAGTGGGTTCAGTAGGTTCAGTATCAGGTGGAAATGGAAATGGAAATGGAAATGGAAACTGGCAAGAAGTTGAAGAAGTTGAAGAAGTTAATGCAGTTCTTAAGAACTTCCTTCAGCAGGTGGGTTCCTCGGAGCTTCCGGTGCTGGAAGAACTGCTGGAGGAAGTGCTGTGGAGCGCTCTGCTCCTGGCGCGAGCCGGCCATGCGCAGCTCAGCGACCTGGAGGAATTGCTGTCGCCTCAGCATTCTCTGAGTGCACTGGCAGCCGTGGCAGCCGCGTGTCGCATCTGTCCGTTGCCGTTGAGTCTGCGGCAGCGGTTGCACAACGAGCTGCCACAACTGCACAAGGCGCTCTTCTCGTCAGAGTCGACAGAGTTGAAGTCAGACTCCAATGCATTGCTTCCGGATGTGCTTCCGGATCCGATTCCGTTGGTTGAAATCCTCCCAGCCTTGCGAAAGGCCAGGGATTCCTTGCTGACTTTCGCTTCTGACCTTCCGGCTGATCATCTTGATCCTGACCTCCAAGAGCACCAGAAGGAGCGACCTTTGTCCGCAACGTCTGCAACCTTTGCAACCTTGCCTGGCGATGCCACACCCTGTGCCAGTCATGTCAAACGCAGACAGGTGCGGCGCACCAGTCTTAGCCACTGGACTGAGGAATCACTTGAACAGCTTGAAGCACCCAAATCAAAAGGAACCAAAACCTCCAAAGGTTCGAAGAAGTGCAATTGTTGATCAATTGTTGATGATGTTGCTGATGTTGGTGATGTTGATGTTTCACCTGACATGTTTCACCTGCAAGACATTTGGAACATTTGGAGTGCCTACAGAGAAAAGGATCGCTCAAATCGCTCAACTCGCTCAACTCGCTCAACTCCAGCCTGCCTCAGCTTGCGTTTTGTAGTTCTGTGAGTTGTATTTTGTCCACATCGTTTTGTTTGCATTTTTTCACGCTTTATCCGCATGATTCAGCAGAGCACGGAGCTGCGCTCGAAGATCTTCGAAGATCTTCAGAATGTTGCTTTCTGTTTTCATAAGTTGTGTGTGACATTTTTGACATGTCTCTTGTTTCCTTCTGTAGATTTTCTTCAAGAGTTTCTTCTTAAACAAGTTTTAGTGACCATGTCCGGATGTCCATTTTTTCAAGTTTTTTTTTCTTCGTAGGACAAGGAGTTCAATGCGAAGATGTCGGAGAAGTCGCTGTTCCGATGCCACTCGATGACCAAACCCATCACCGCCGTGGCCCTGATGAGTCTCTGGGAGGTGCCGGTTGAAATCCTGAAACAGTCCGTTGAAATTAACGAAATGCAAGCCAAAAAATTTAGAAAAAAGGTTAATAATTTAAAAAAATGCGAAGCAAAATAATTAACGTATAGTTTTTCCCACTAAAAAATTGTCAAAGACATCATTTTATAGTGGGAGTATGTGGGAGTATGTGGAAGTGCTATATCCCGTTAAAACCTGTGCGTTTCTGAAAAAAATAGTGAAGTATTAGAAACAAACGAGTTTTGACACCGTTGACACCATCCTCTGTCCTAAGCCACAACGGAAGCCACAACGGAAGCCACAACGGGGCGGATCGCCAGGAGGGGAAGCTCGCCTTGGACGACCCAGTTCACAAGTACATCCCGGCTTTCAGAAACATGAAGGCAGGAGAGATGCAGCGATGCAGATGTAAAGAAACATGTAAGGAGACTCAGGAGACATGTAAAGATTGAATTAAGATTGAACTGCCTTGTCTATCCGTATCTTCTTATTTTTTATGTTGATGGCAGTTTGCCTGTCATGATATTACAAGCATATTACGGCATTAGCGCGATATCTTCCATAGTGTTGCATCGTGTGTAGTAGCGTCCGCTGTGGGGAGCTATGCCATCCACTAACAACACATATGTGCGACCGTGAATCCACTAAGCAGGGCCCGCATATGCTTCATAAAAAGTTTGTGTTTCTTGCACTTGACACTGGAAGAGCCACATCACGGGACATTCTATTTGGGCATTTGGGCAAAAGGTTCTATGTCTGCATTGGTTTTGAGCAGCAAGCAGTCTACAGTGTCGCATCTTCGTAGCATTTGCGTAAATCACATAATGGTGTCCAGATGTGATATGCTCGGACATGCGCCCAGCGCCCGCCCACCACTATCTTCTTGTGATGTGGAATCTGCACATGCGCACGCATAAATAGACTATATATTAACATATATAGCCGTGACGGGTCGAGTCCTTCCAGTGGTGCGGCTGTTACGACTGAACCTCGACGTTTCACAATGATGGTTCGTACTTATGCCGTGCACCCACTTGGCGGAGTGGTTTTGATGTCATACCCTTTGGTTGCCTTCTCGGCACAATCGAGCCTTTGCTTTTGCCTGGTGAGCACGCCTGAGCGGTTCATTTCTTGTCCGACTGTGATTAGCTGCGACTGGGCGGTGCTGCCTGTTGACCTGATGCATGAAGTTGTTTTTTCTACAAGACGTGATTTCCCAGACGGCCTGGGAGCTTTTGGACGTGAGTGCCGCCTGCCCAAGAGCAACCGGTATTTTCGTGACTGTGGCTCCTCTTGCTCTGTGAATCAGGTGGACCTTGTTGTGAGGCAATCATGCAGTTGCTATGTAGCTTTTCCAAGCTACAACAGCATTCCTATCGGCAAAGCAATGGAGAGGCACTACAGCACTAGTGCTTGTTTCAGTCCATGGCTAGGACCTGGTGGCTTCGAACCTGCACGAAGGAGAAAGATTGTGGCATTCTGATCTACACGGCTTGAGCCCAGGGGCCGCACCATGATCGTGTTTTTCCCCTGTCCCTTGTTGTGCTTGTATCATGTTTTGGGAGCTATGCACGCTTGCTGCTCACCTGACCGATGTCAACCAACGAGTGTTTATTTGGTCAGCACACGTCTAGCCAATTTCGTTTTCGGTACCCGCTTCTCTTGGGGCGGCCATGATAGTGCAGCTCAGCAGTCTGTCGACTATGCTCTGAAGGTGGCTGGGGGCAAACTCTTCCAGTTACCCTTATTGTGTGTACAAAGCAGCCTGATGTTTACCCTCTGACTCCTGCGGTCTGTGGGCTATGCTCTGAAGGTGGCTGGTCGCAAACTCTTCCAGTCACCCTTATTGTGTGTACAAAGCAGCTCGCCGGTGACCCTCTGACCTGCTCTCGCCGCACTGCTACCGCCGTGCGCGAGTGCGTGAATCTGTCCGAGATATATATTAACATATAAACTACTGAATGTTGTAGTCATGTTTCTGGAGTTGATGCAGGAATTGCATAGCCAGTTTTTGTTCCACTGCATTTGACTGGTGAGTCTAGCAGTCTTGCGCAGAGAAGGTTTTGTTAAATTCACATTTGATTGAATTAAAACGTGTCAATTGGAAATCTTGGGAAATTTTGTGCCCAGAGCCCGTCACATCTTCCAATCCTTAGGCCTGGCGCCCTGTTTAAATATGGGCATTTAAATGTAATGCTCACTCGCTGCTTCCAGGTCTTTCCTTAAATGCAACAAGGTCTCTAACTTCATTGGCTCAATCAGTTCAGTGCCCCTGGTGATCTACCCGTGATTTCTCTGTAGCCAGGCTTTGTTTCAGTATATTTTTTGGTTTCCACCAATCCCACTTTTTCACATTGGATCAAGCTATTTCCTGATTGTTTATTTCTGAAACCCAGCATTCAGCCTAGGTACATGGCACTATCCAGTGGTCCGATGATGGAGCGATTATAAATTTAGTTTCTTGGCTATCTCATTTGATGGGGGACTGATGGGGGTCACTCTTGATATCTCTTGATGTTGATGGATGTTGGAAGCTCCATTAGGGCTCAAGTCATGGATTGTGCCGGCTCAGCCAACCCGTACCTCTCTCACATGGATGTGCCATTAGATGCTGGCAACAGCTGGAAGAACAAGCACCGGGTTGAGATAAAGCGGAACACTGAGAGCCTATTCTTAGTTTACAAGACTTGTTTGTTTTGTTTTTTGGGGCCCCAACAGTGGCCTGAAAATAACTCGAAACGATTGCCAGACTCAAACCCAGCAATTCCATCCCAGGATTCTTTTCCAGAACTCGACTCAACCTCACAGCACTCCACGTGGCTTGCCTATCCACAGCGCATGTCTATCGACGTCACTTGGTTGGTATGGCGCAAAGCTTTGGGGATATGCATTTGGTTATGGCATCAACCAACAATTTTTTTGATCTATGATGGACCCATCCTGCAAGGCAAATTTACCTTGCTCCTACGGAAATCTGGAAAGAGATGTATCCAGATGTTGGTACCAGACCACTTGTCAGAACACGTCGGGTTTCGAGACAGAAGAGCCGCAGCCGCACCCCTCAACGAAGCTGGCTCTCAATGTATGTATGAAACATGTTTGTATATGTTTGTTTCTTATGGCTAACCCTAATGTTTGTTTCCTTAAACAACTTCAATGTTTACCCATGTTAACCCCAATGTTTCAATGTTTGTTTTCTTCGAACACTTAATATCTTGCCCATGTCCTGGTTGATATATGTTTTATGTGCTAAGGACAAGCTGCAACCGGTGAGATTGGGGGCTCTGAGGGCACTGTTTATACTGGGTCTCTCTTTGCTTCTCCAGAGCCTGCAACTATTCGAGGCGATATGTGTCACAAACAAATTCAAATTGTGTCAGGTTTGATTTGATGTTTAAATTTTGAACCATGAATGATGTTGTCAAACATTGTTTGTTGTTTGCAGCTTATCCCCCATGGAGGTTGCCGCAACCAAGATGAATCTGATGATGATGAGGACGTCTTAGAGGTCTCCATGCAGCAGGCCGCAGGTCTAGAAGAAAAGGCTGCTGATGGCGACACTCAAGAGAAGGAGGAAGTCAAAGAGAAGGAGGAAGTCAAAGAGAAGGAGGAAGTCAATGAGAAGGAGGAAGTCAATGAGAAGGAGGAAGTCAATGAGAAAATTCAGGAGGCAAAGGAGGAGAACGAGGAGAAGCCAACCATCACTAAGGGTACTGCAGGGCCTTTGCTGCTGCCAAAGATGGGCCATCTGGCAGCTTGCCTTTCCAAGATGTTTTTACTATCTTTTCATTATTTTACCATGTTTTCCTTTCACTATGTTTTTCATTATTTTGATTATGTTTTCATTCCAAGATGTTAGCCCAGCATTTTTTGTTCATTTGTTCATTTGTCAGGAGCAAACGACGTTCGTTGTTGATTCCACAGAAGATGCGCAGCTATATGCATCTCGTGTGCTGGGAAAGGTTTCTACGATGTTTTGACAAGCTTTTGTTTTGGGGGTGATTTGTGTTTGAAGGTCAGGTTTTTGAAATGACCAGGCATGAATTTTTATGGTTTCATTTTTTGCATCTCAACAAAGGTTCATCGGTTGATCGTGGATGGGGACAAAGCTGGAACATGTCCTACTGTGGTGCTGGAGCAAGTCACTGAAATTGTAAAGGTTCAGTCAGCGGTCACAAAGATCTGTGAACTGATTGGGTTGCAAACCACATAGTGGCCTGAACATGGGATTCATATCAGGTGAATGTGCTTTCAGAATCAAATTGCGCTGTTTGTTTTTGGAAAAGTATACATGTCAGGCTCTTGACAGATCGTGTGTGGCTACAAAAGAGAGGAAAGAATGTAAAAAGTTAATCTGGGATGGGGGTTGGGGGCGCTGGTGTTTTGATGTGTTCAGTCAGGTTGTTTGCCATTGGGCCCTTATTGGATGTTATGCTCCTTGGTGGCGTCGTGCGAACCATGTCCCACATTTTACATGTTTGCTACTTTCATACCGCTGCTTCCAATCCGAGGTTGCATTTCGAATCTATCTATCAAGCTACCTGTCAGCATTTCAGCGACTCACAGAGTTCAGAGTCAAGTGTGCTCAAAAAGTCGTGCCTACCGGTGGGTAAGAATCTTGGCTCATAATGTCAAGCAGGTCTAGATCACCCCAAAGGGGGTTGGACAGGGTGACGCTTGAATCTTCTGGCTCCTCCAATGCCTCCGATGCTTGTAGTGACACTGATGATGGCTCGAGCTCAGCTTCATCATCTTCTACTTCATCCACTAGTTCTTCTACAGGTTCATCTGGATCATCTGGTGTGTACCAACAGGCCTACAGGGAAGTGTTTCTTGTTGAAAACTTTAGGCATCGTTTTCTTTAGGCTGGGGCATGCCCCATGTTGTACTTGGTGTTGAATCCTTTCCAAGCTTGTCTTACTTGTCTTGTAATTAGCTTGACCTGGCATGCTTCTAAGGCCTGCTGATTTGGAACCTCATGTGAAGCTATCTCCCACGCAAGTGCGTTTGGTTTCTGGCTGGGGCCGACAAATGGCTTTTCAAGGTGGAATCTTGGCAATTTTCAGGGGTTCCAAGTTTGAGTCTTTAAGAGTTCTTCCTTTCAGTGTGTGGTGCGTTGCATCAATCAGGAATTACAGACTTTCTGCAAGGGCTGAAGGCACCGTTGCGGATGATGTCCGACTGTTCCTGATGAAATATGATAGTACATTTTTTGTTGTTGTCAGGGGCCCAACCATTTTTGTTGGTTATAGTATTTTTATATAGTATTTTTATAATTTTATAATGTGGGATGTAGTCAACATAAAAAGAGAGCCAATGTTTTGCCGACCATGCTGAGAGGTGCTGGAGCCAGCGGCTCATGGTGGGCTATGAAAGAGCTGACAAATGATCGATGCTGCATGGTCTCTCACGCCGAATGTGCACATGGAGCCCTTAAATTCTTGCTGGCCAA